GAACCATAAATTGGGTGGAGCAGCATCCCTGGAGATCTCCAAGGAGGGTCAGTGTTAGCCAGGTTGATGGAATCTCACATATGGCACTGGCTTGCTGGCTCCACGGGGTGAGGGTTTAGAAAAGTGACAATGACCTCTGCTCTCCTTGATGCCAGACACTTCGGTTTATCCCTGAATGCCACTGGTGCTTTTCAAGCTGCTATCCCTGTGCTGGAGCTCAGAGGGAGAGCCTGTATAGGTAAGCCTGTGTGTCAGTTCTTTAAGAGGAACTGCTTGGGGCTCCAGAAGTTTCTCCCACAGACTCAATTCCCACTGGTTTTTGCAGCCAGAAATTGTGGGGACTTATCTTCCTGGCACTGGAACTCCGGTGTGGGTGGCGTGGTGAGGGGTTGGGACTCCTCAGTCCCAAGATATTCCTCTCACATTTTTATCCACCACTTGTTTAACCAGTCTGAATGGATAATTTCATAGTTGTCAGACTTCCATTCAACTTGATTTCTGACAGTTATGAGTGGTGGTTGTTCTATATTTTAGTTGTAATTTTGATGTGGTTTTGTGAAGAGGAGAGCCCTGTCTACCTACACCATCATTTTGACCGGAAGTCCCAAACACTTTCTGTTTTCTTTAGCGTAAAATCCGAGCTCTGTAGTACAGCCTACAAAGCCACTGGTGACCTGACTAGTGTCTAGAGCTTTCACCTTGCCCACCTTTGAACACTTCTTTCTAATCCAGATGTACAGTTTGTAGTTCCAGAAAGGGTCAAAATAATTCACATTTCTGACTCCCTCTTTTTGGACTATCCCCTTCTGTATTTTAACCAGACTAACTCTGGTTCATTCTTTAAAACTCACTAACTTGAGAACAGGAATTATGCCCTGTCATCTCTGTATCTCAATCACCTAGCAACTCCACAGTTTAGGAGCTGCTCAACAAATATTTACTGAATGAAATGTTTACTGTGTTCTTGGTACTCCTGTGGTATGCTTGCCATGCAAGGAACAGTTCGTCCAATCTCAGTCACCTTCCCCCTCAGACTGAACACCTTTCCTTTGCATCAGTGACACAACTGGAAAAGCAAATTCTAAATTCTATGCCATCTTATTCCCTACTCACTCTATAACCTTGGAAGAGTCATTAATCGCCTCTGAGTCTCTCTTTATTTGTACTAAGTGTTAATAAAAAAGAAAGGATAAGATTAATTGCTTAAATTAATATTTATTGAATCAGACATTGTGTTAGATACTCTTAAATAAGTTAGTTTGAGCAATAGACACAATATCCCGGTGAGACAGATTTTATACCCTTTCTACAGAAGAGTAAACTGCAGCTCAGAGTACTTAGGTAGGAAATTTGGCCAAAGTTGCAAAGGTGTAAGCAGGTTTGTGCTAAGTAGTTTTATCATAGGCAACATTAGAAGAAGAAGAAAAAAAAGGAGCATCCAGGTCTTCTCTAACTGAATGACTGAGATTTTTCATTCTCACAGCATTTTCTAGCCTCTGTCATTTCTCATCAGACCAACATCTGGTGAGCACAGCATCTTACCTCAAGGTTCAGGTTCCTTGGGTTACTCCCAGTCTGTCCTACAGATTTTGACAATGATCTGCATTCCTTCTGCACCTTTATTTTAAAGCATTTTTAGCCCTGGCTGATGTAGCTCAGCAGATTGAGTGCTGGCCTGTGAACCAAAGGGCTTCCTGTTCAATTCCCAGTCAAGGGCACATGCCTGAGTCGTGGGCCAGGTCCCAAGTAGGCAACCACACATTGATTGAACCACTCTTTCTTCCTCCCTTCCCCTTTCTCTAAAGAAATGAACAAATAAAATCTTTAAAGACAATCTATGAGTAGAAGAAGAAGCAAATTAAAAAAATAAATAAATAAAAAGCATTTTATACCTGTCATATCTTGCTAGTTAAATGTGAAGAAATGAGTCTCCCCAATTTAGGAGGCAAAGTTGAGGTTCAAAGTGACTTACCTAAAGTCATATGGTATCGGTCATCAGTAAGAGGACAATAATTCCTATTAGAGGCTGACATATCCATGAAGCCAAAGGACATTTTATTTATGTATGTATGTATGTATGTGTGTATATTTTGGGGGGGAGCACATTCTTCTAATTCACAAAGCAGAAGAGTGACATTATAGAAAGAGAACTAGCATTATAAAAGGAGACCTGGGTTCTCATCTGAGGTCTTTTGGTTGCAAAACTACCACGATTGAAGGGGAAAAAAAAGTTATGTAGTTCAGAAAGAGTAGGTATGTTTTAAAAGCTAATCTTCTAGTCAGGCAGCATAGGGAGATTAGGAGCTCTTTGAGGGCAGAAACTTACCTTACCTTTATATCCCTGGTGCCTAGCACTGTTCCAGGGACATATCTGATACTTAATAAACATTAGTTAACTTGAATATGGGATTTAGAAGTAAGGAGGCAGGGAAGGGAACTTGAGAGAGTTTAGAATTGAGAACCCAAGGTAGAGACAGTTTAGAAAAAATGGGTCTAAGAGTGAGACACCAGGCATTTGTGATTCTAGTTTTCTTATTCCAAGATATGAGGAAATTCACTAGAGGAACAGGGTACTGCAGCTTTAAATGACTCCAACATAGTCAATGAATCTGCTCTGCTAAAAGAGTTATCCCCTTGCTCCTGCACTTGGCCTCCCCCTCCCTTCAGCTCCCTAAACCCTTCTCAGCTGCTGTGATGGGATAATTAGATGCGAGAGCTCAGCACAAATGATGCTGCTGTTGCTTAGCAACTAATGGTTTCCAAGGAGACTGCAAAGCACAGCCTCCAGAGCAACCAGTGAGCAGCTTGGCAGGGCAGGGAGAGGACGCAACTCTCGGCTCCTCTAGAAACCTGGGGAGGGCCAGAGGTGGGGAAGAGGGATTGGCAGGAGAAGGGAAGGTTTAAAGCCACAGGGCCCTCATATCCCTTTAAAATCTGGTCAGAGCTCCCCCACTTTGTACCACTCATAATTTCAGATGGAGATGGGGCTTAGGAACAGACCCTACACAGCCCACCCTGCAATAAATCCAACATCTTCTCCTTTCTGTTTCCTGGTTTCTGGATGAAATGGAAAGAGACATCTTCCCAAGCCCAAGTGTAAACATCCTCCCGGTTTAGTGGCATTCTCCAGGTTTGAAGAGTACCAGGAAGATCTACTTACCTCTGGAATTCTACCTTTTAACATGTTTGCTCCCTCTAAAGTTCTACCCAACATACAAAAAGATCCTCTTTTAGTTTGTACAGTGATGGTAGAATCTGATCTAAAAGAGTACAAAAGCCAAGGTGCAAGAAAAACAGAATTCAGTGCCTTACCCAAAGGCAGGCTATCCTGGGAGACTGGGGAGAAACACTTGCCTCTGGTCTCCATCAAAGAGGATCTACGCCTGGCCTGGTGTGACACAGTGGGTTGGGTGTCATCCCACGGACCGAAGGGTCAAAGGGTTGCCTGGGTTGTGGGCCAGGTCCCCGTGGAGGGCCTGTCAGAGGCAACTGATCCATGTGTCTCTTGCACATTGATATTTTTCTCCTTCCCCTTCTCCCTCGCTTCCCCTCTCTCTAAAAATAAATTTAAAAAAATATTTTTAAAAAATGTTCAAAGAGGATCCTGGGTGTGCATATGGAGATAGGCAATACAGAACATGTAGCAACTCAAATTGTGGCCTCTCAGACTAGCATCAGTCAGTGCTACCGGAAGCTCATTAGAAACACAGAATTTCAGGCTTCACCTCAGACCCACTGAATCAGAAACTGCATATTAACAAGATCTCTATGATTCCTATACACATTAAATTTGGAGAAGCACTGGTCTAAAACCCTCCAATCCTCTGCGTGGGTTCCTAAGTTCTATCTTTATTGTCACCCCTGGTCGTACCCCAGGCTTAGAGCCTACCCTTCCCACCGCAGGGGTAGGGACACAACCCCACCAATCCCTTGCTTTCCTACCAGGACTCTGCCCATTCTCTGGGATTGGGGAAGATAGAATGGTTCATGGAGCAAAAAGACACACGTAATACTCTCAGACTTCTGTAGACATATATGACCTCTCCTGGCAAACTGTCCACTTTCTACAACTGACTCCACCTCTTTGAATCTCAGTTCCACATCTACAAAAGGGAGATAACAACACTGCTGCCAGGATGTCTGTAAGGATTAATACGTGAGAGCATGCAAAGCCCCTGCCCAGTGCTTTCTCCTCATCTCTCTTCCCCCTCTGTTCATAATTCTATCTTTACTTCTGTCTCATTGAGCCCATAGAACTTGTCTCTTTTTCTTATTTATTCTCAAACAGTTCAATAAAGGTTGCTGACCAGGGCTGACAGTGCCCACCCCTACCTGCCAGACCGGGTCACTGCTCACCTCTCAGGTCTCTCCAGAAATCTTCCCTGGCACCCTTTACTCCACTCTCCAGAATAACCTGAACCCCTTTACACTCCCTGACACCACATCCCTCTACCTTTCCCAAGGCAGCAGTACTTGGGCTTCAGTGGACACCAAAAATCAAAACCCTTGGCTCTGCTGCCCCCACTACAAGTTTCCATTTCCCTCCCATTCTTGCTCAGCCAAGACCCTTTCAGGAAACCCTTCAGAGTATTCTCCTCTTTTTGCAGATCAGGGCAACATCCAAACTTGCTGCTCTCCCGGGAAGACCTCCCCCACCTCGGGGAAGCTATCCTCTGCTGGCAGAATGTTGAGGCTCCTGCATATGTGAGTCCCAGAGAAGGGGTGATTTCCAACCCCCTTGGTTACCATGCCCCCCTGCAGCTGACTAAGCCACCAAGATCCAGCCAAGGTTCCTACACCTGGCCTGAGAGCCAGCTCCCCATCCTGAAAAACTTGTCTGGGCTCCCCCTGAGGCTTTAGAGCCCAAGGAGCAGGTTGGACAAGATTCCTCTCCAGCCCCTCCCACCCTCAGGACAAAAACCAGCCACCCCAAGGGCAGGGCCTCACTTGCCTCAGGAAGCCACAGCCTGTCAGCATCCATTCCAGCTGCCAGCCCAGCTATGGCATCCCTGCTACCCATCCGGATCTTGCCCTTGATCCTGATTCTACTGGCTGTCCTGGCCCCAGGGGCTGCAGGTCTCTGCCATTACTGGGGAGGGGCTGGGGCCTGGGGGCTGGGTGCTATGTGTCCTCCTGTGCCTTCCAGAGCTCTGAAAAAGGAGCTCATCTCACCAGCTTGGGGTGGGGAGCTGGCGATGGCAGTGACCAGACATCAGTCACTGAGCTGAGGGCATAGTCCTAGTCTTCTTCTTGCCCAGGAGGCAAACAGGTGTGGAGAAGGGCCCAGGCTGTGCATAGAGGTAAGGTGGCGCGCGCAGGATCTGGAAGCTTGGTAGCGTATCCAGCTTCTGTAGCCCAAGCCTGCCACCTGGTGTTCAGGTCAGCAAGGGCCTGGTTCTGCCAGTGGACTACAGAGAGAGGATACTGCAGCCTCTGAAATGTTCTCTGGGGCTGGGGACAGATCTGATGGTGGGGGAGAAGAATCCAATTCCCTTCTCTCACTTAACTAGCTCTTGGCTCCCCCAGCAGTATTCAACATCTCAAGCCTCTCTGGTCTGCTGTCCCCGGTGCTAACGGAGAGCCTGCTAGTTGCCTTACCCCCCTGTCACCTCACAGGGGGTAATGCCACACTGATGGTCCGGAGAGCCAATGACAGCAAAGGTCTGCTACCTAAGCTTCCCAAGGCATTCATTCCCCTAGTCCCTTCCCAGGACACACCAAGCTTCCCTTCTTCCATGCATGCCTTCCCATCAATCCCATTGCTGGGCCTGAACTGTAAATATTGCCCCTTCCTCTCGCGCCCTCCAAAAACTTGACCCTGCTTTTCACCCCCAATTTCCTGCTCAGTGGTGAAAGCTAGCTTTGTGGTGCCTCCATGCCGTGGGCGAAGAGAGCTGGTGAGTGTGGTGGACAGTGGGGCTGGCTTCACAGTCACCCGGCTCAGTGCCTACCAGGTGACAAGCCTCGTGCCAGGAACCAAATACTAGTAGGTACTAGATCCAGGCTTGGAGCACCTGTGGGAGGGGGTACTAGAAGAGAACCTGGGTCCTGACATTTGGTGGTAGTGGTGGGGTGTGGTCAGCAGGGGGGAAGGAGTGCAAGCACAACTAAAGAGACCAAGAATGGGCATCTCCTGGAGGAAGGCACAATGGAGGCACACATGTGGGGGGGGCCTGGGTGCCCTCTTCTCCCAAGTCCCAGATACTGAGAATTCTCTCTTCTTTCTCTTCCAAACCTCACCACAAAAGCATTTCCTACCTAGTGAAGAAGGGGACATCCACCGAGTCCAGTAGAGAGATCCCAATGTCCACACTTCCTCGTAAGTAACACACATGCCCTTTCACATCTCAGGGCCTACAGAATCTTCCCTGGACATTTCCACCCACACCCGCAGCTGCCCCTCCTTGTGCCCTTAGCCCCTTCGCTTCCCTCTGTCCTAGCACTGAGCCCTTGTCATTTTAACTACCTGTTGAGTCATCCTGCTTCATTGCTAAACTAAAGGTTCAATATGGGTAGGGAGTATGTCTGAATAATTTCTGTATCTTCAGTGAGTGACATAGGAGATGCTTCATAAATGTTTATTTGATGGATGTCTGGATCCCTTGGATGATTTGTTGGAGGACTGGATAAATAGATGAAAGGATAACTGGATGGCTGGATGAGGGGCTCAGATGAATGCCTCAGGCAGGACAGGGCCACTCCTGCCCACAAAGAACCCCCTACTTTCTCTTCTGACAGGAAGGAAGATGGAATCCATTGGGCTGGGAATGGCCCGGACGGGGGGCATGGTGGTCATCACAGTGTTGCTCTCTGTTGCTATGTTCCTGCTGGTTCTGGGGTTCATCATAGCCCTGGCACTGAGTGCTCGAAACTGAGACCTGCAGTGGGTGGTGTGCTCTTCCAGGAAGTCCAGGGCACCGTCCATCTCTCCAGTCCAGAGCTTTGCCTTTTGCTCCTACTGTCTCTCTTAAAAAGACTGTTTCCTGTTGTTAATCACTGGTCTTTGGCTCCTTATTTGCCTTCACCTCTGCTCACTTTCCTCCCTCTGCTCCTCTGCTTGTCCACTAAGGTCTCACCTTCACCCAACTCTCCCTATTATTTCCCTCATCCCGCTCCTGTAAGAATTGACTTTCCTCCCATTTCACCTCTTTAACTGTCCCCAACGACAATTCAACCCTCCTCCCCCACCCATTGAACTAAGTTCCTGCAATAAAGTTAGATGCCAACTCTGCTGCCTGTGTTTTCCCTTCTGTGGGCTCCCCTTTGGCCTGAAGCTTTAGATTCTGTGTCCAGGCTGCAGGCACTCCCAGTCCCCTCCCTGCCGCTTATCACCCAAGTTGCTTTTCCCAGGACGCAGGAAGGGGACAGATGAGATAAGAACCCAGGAGTCAGAGTTATCAGACCCATACCTGGGCTGCGGGTTTTTGCATCCCCCACAGCAGGCCACCCAACCAGGGCTGGTGTACCCTGCAGGGACCTTGAGATCATAGGGACTTTGGGTGTGAGTGGGGCACCTGCTGGCAGAGCAAGGGGAAGTGTTTGGGAAAAGATCAGAGGCTGTGACTAGGGAAAGACAGAGTGCCACCAGGATGAGACCAAAGGACAGGGGAGTGGAGGAGTAGAGAATAGGCTTAAGGGGCTCCAGAAGGAGAGAGCAGCAGTAGAATAACACTGGGTAGAGAGGGACAAGAGTGGTCCAGTCTGGTAACTGAGGGAAAAGAACAGTAGTTACCCCCATTCACTTTTGTCCTCTAGTATATATTCCTTATAAGGGTTAGTGATCTTTGCATTGCTCTTAAAGTAAAGACTAAAATCTTTAAGGTGACCTCCAAAACCAGCCCTGGTCTCTCTGCTAACTACCCCTCAGCCCACACCATGTTCCCTCCAATGTTCAGTGTTCCCTCTTGCCTCAGGGCCTCTGCTTACGGTATTCGATTTGCCTGGCCTGCTCTTAAAGCTGCCCCACCCCCAACTCCACTCTTATTTACATAGTTAATTTAACTTCTTCAGGGAAGCCTTTCCTCACCTCCATCACTCCATTAGGTTGGATTCTCCTAGGGTATCTTTCATAGCATTACTATGGTTTATAATTATATATGTATATGTCAGTTGTCTCCTGCACCAGACTGTACATTCCCTGAGAGCAGTTGCTTTGCTCCCAAGGCAACAGTACCTCTGCTCCACAGTGCCCAGGACATAGTACATAGTACTCAATAAATACTTGTTGAACAAGAAAACAAACAAACAAATAAACAAGCCCCTAACAAGAAAGAAAGGACCAGAAAAGTACCCAAAATGACAATGGAAGAGAAGGAAAATAATACTCATTCACTCCACAATGCACAAGAGTTTTAATTTCGCCACATCCTAGTCAACAAGTGTTATTTTCTGTGTTTTTTTGTTTATTTGCAGTATAGCCATCCCAACAGATGTGAAGTGGCATCTCATTGTAGGTTTTCTTTTTTATCCTTACCCAAGAACATGCTCATTGATTTTAGAGAGAGGGGAAGGGAGCAAGAGAGACAGACAGACAGACAGAGACAGACATCAGTCAGTTGCCTCTTGCACAACGCAGGTACATACCCTGACCATGAATCAAACACACAACCTTCTGGGTTTACTGGACTATGCTTCAACCAGCTGAGCCACACCGGCAGGGCTAACTGTGGTTTTAATTTGTATTTCCCTAGTGACTAGTGATGTTGTACATCTCTTTATGTGTTTATTAGACATTTGTGTATCTTCTTTGGAGAAATGTCTATTCATATTCTTTGCCCATTTTTAAATGCGTGTGAGTTGTAGGAATTCTTTATATATTCTGGATATTAATCCTTATCAGATGTATGATTTGCAGCATATTAACATTGTAAAATGGTAGATTAATTTGAAAAGGGCTATAAAAGGGTGAATGCATGACAATATTTTTTACAAAACAAAAATGAAGCAGCTCTAATGAAAAAGATTGTAAAAATATACATCAAAATATAATTGATCATTATCTCTGATTAATACAAAGAACCATTTTTGTATTATTGTTTTTCCCTTTCTGCTTTCTATACTTCTAAGTTTTCTGCATCAAACATGCACATTTTTATAATAAGGGAAGTATCATCATTATTAATGGTATTAAAGGTAGAGTTTTAGCACACTTTTAAAAAGAAAGCTGTTATATTCACTGCAGTTAAAACATTTTTTGAGGGCCTCCTATGAAACTCTCAAAGTTTCTGATCTTTTTGTTTGTTTGTTTGTTCAATATTTTATTTATTTACTTTTAGACAGAGTGGAAGGAAGGAAGAAAGAGAGGAAGAGAAACATTGATGTGTGGTTGTCTCTCACATGCCCCCTACTGGGAACCTGGCCTACAGCCCAGGCTTGTGCCCTGACCAGGAATCAAACCAGTGACCCTCTGGTTCGCAGGCCGGCACTCAATCCACTGAGCCATACCAGCCAAGGCTTAGAGTTTCTGGTCTTGTAAGCAAGCAACAAAAATCACAGTATAGCGTGGATAGGCTCTGATGGAGAACCCAGGATACACAAAGGAACCAGAGGGGGCCAGCACATCCACTGGCCAAATCCGGAATGACTTGAGCATTAAAACAATGATAATAATGAATAATAACCATTCTAAAAAATTAGAATCCTCTGAGTCCACACTGATAAACAAACAAATATGGGATAAGGAAAAGCTCTTTCTTACAGTAGAATGCCAACTTAATAAGTAGAAAAAGAATGATAGGTTTTTTTAATAATCAAATTTTTAAGATTTTATTTATTTATTTATTTTTAGAGGGAGGGGAAGGTAGTGAGGGGGAGAGAGAGATCATTGATGTGGGACAGATACATCGATCCATTGCTGCAGGTTGCCAACTGGGGACTTGGCCCTTGACCAAGGCATGTGCTCTGACAGGGAGTTGAATTGGCGGCCTTTCGGCCTTTCATTCTCAGGCCCGCACTCAATCCACTGAGCCACACCAGCCAGTGCTAAAAAGTAATAATTTTATACCCATCAAAATAATGATTGATTCAATCAAGAATAATAAATGGATGCTAGAATTAGTGGGCCCAAACTTGATGAGGATCAGAATTTTAGATCAATGTATCTCCCACAAATTACTTTCTAATTACAAAAGGGGGGAAAAAAAGATAATGATGGTAGAAAAACCTGCTGGATACCACTAAACCAAGTGATTGAAGTTAACATCACTAATGAGACAAACCAACATAATGTGCCTCTTGATGTGATGTACTAAGAAGGAAACAACATCGCGGCTGTGGTATTCTTGCCAAAAATCCGTAAACGTCAGATACACCTTAGCTAAGAGACATTCTACAGAATAAATGGCCTGTACTCTTTAAAAATATCGATTTTATAAAAAATTTAAGAGGCTGAGAAACTGCTCCAGATTAAAAGAGACTGAAGAGATGAAAATCATATGTAACACATGAACTTGAATTGCATCCTAGACCAGGAAACAAATTTATGTAAAGGAGATTGTTAGGACAATAAGTAAAATTTGAGTAGCACTTGTACATTAAACAGTATTCAATCAATATTAAGTTGTTTGATTTTTATTACATTTCTTATTTCTGATTTCTTGGTCATGTAAGCCAATATCCTTGTTTTCAGAAAATACACACTGAAATATTTATTGGTAAAGAGGCATGACGTCTGCAAATTACTCTTAACTCAGAAAAAATATATATATATATATGTTTATATACTGGGAGAAAAATTAAAGTGTGATAAAATGTCAGTAATTGGTGTGATTGCTGAATTACAAGATTTAGGTATATAGGCATTTTTTATAGTATTCTTGGGATTTTTCTGTAAATTTGAAATTACTAAAAACAAAAATTTTTAAAAATCACCATTTAATCCCACCTCCATGGTGTACTACAGATGCGATTTTGATGAACTCTAAAATAAATGAGAACTCTTAGAAAGTTAATACTGTCTTGAGATCATCCTTAAACCTTAGACGAATTTACTAAATGAAATAAAAGGTTTGCACAAATGTAGTGGGGAAAGAGGACCCTCCCTTCTGAGTCCCCCCAGGTATCCACATCCCTATACAGAAACATGGGGATCGAGGGAAGACGTTGTAGAGAGTACTTAGTTGAGACGAGATGGGATTAAAGGCGTCAAAGCTAACTCCATCAGAGCCGGTAAAACCAATTCAATCAGAGCCCTGGTATTTGAGGAAGTGGCTCAGAGGCCTGGCCTCAGTCTCTCCTACTCTTCCACCCGCTGCCGGGCTGGTCTCCTTTCCTTGAAGGTGGACCTGAAACTCCAACACCTCGACTTCTGGGCCAGCCTCCATGGCCAGGTCCCGGGACTGCTGGACTGGGACATGGGGAACGAGTGCTTTCTGGCCTTCACGTCCACGCACCTGCCCTTAGCAGAGCAGAACCGTGAGCATCTGCATGGTGGGGGAGGGCTAGGGGAGGTTTCGGAGTGTGGGGTGGCAGGGGTGGGCGCGGTTTGTGTGAGCAGGAGCAGGGCCAGGAGGTTCCCCAGCCTTCGACCTCCTCCTCCCTCCGTGCTAGCTCGCGATGGCGCAGTTTCGGCCCGCTCCCCACCTTGCTAAAGGCCGGCGCCCCCTCCCCCACCCCACGTCCCGGAGTAGCGACCCTGCAGCCTAGACTGCAAGCTCACGGAGGGCAGCTGTCCTCCTGCCTGGCAGGCGCTTTTAGCTCCACACCACCTGCCCTGCCCCCATCCCAGTACCTTCTAGGCCTCTTCTCGGCTTTTTCTCCAAGATGCCTTCCGCCATTTGGCGCAGCACTTATTTTTTTACTAACTTTTCTCTTAAAAAAAAAAAAAAAAGTAATGATCAGTTCTGACCGTGGCTGTAGCCCCACCACTTTACACATTGTCTGACACTTAGAGGTGCTCAGTATTTGCTGAACAGATGTTTGGCCATCGGCATGTTTTTTTTTTAATGTATTTTCAGGCTCTGGCTGGTGTGGCTCAGTGGATTGAGTGTCCGCTTGCAAGTTAACGGATCGCTGGTTCGATTCCGAATCAGGGCACAAACCTGGGTTGCACAAGAGGCAACCACACATTGATGTTTCGCTCCCTCCTCTCTCTCTAAAAGTAAATAACATTTAAAAAAACAAAATTTATTTTCAATTTGGACCTCAAGTGCAGAGAATTGAAGTACTCACTTCCTACATTCTTGGTAAATTACTGCCATATTTTCTGGCAAAGTGCTTGGGTTAACTGATTTTCCCCCTTCAGTTACCACCCCCACTTCTATCACCTTCCACACTCCCCTGTATCTACCTTAACCAAGTTAGTGTTTTTAGATATGTGTATCTTTCAAAACTGTTTAGCATTGTTTTGTGTTTATAGGTGCCTTTAATTTACATAACACTCATTTTTTCCCCACCACTCACATTTTCTTTTTTCCTGTGAGGACTCTTTCTTCCTGGTTTGCAGATAGTCCTCTTCCTGCTGCGCCCTCATATGGCAGAGAGAGATCACATTGTTTTTGAGAGCCATTCGGATTGCTAAATGTAGATCTGGTTCATCATTTTTCACTGTTGTATGCTAACTCTTGCACTTTAATTCTCCTTACTAATGAAGACGTAAATTGCTCCAACTCTTTGCCACCATAGTAATGCTGATGAACATTCCTATACCTTGACTGATTCAAGAAATATTTATTGAGGACCTCCAGTCTGGTAGGCACTATTCTAGACATTGATGATACATAATGAAAAAAAAACACACAAAAAACAGGCAAGTTGTCATGGAGCTTACATTCCACTAGAGACATATACAGCCCACATTAAAAAAATGTATTTCCTAGTATGTTATAAGGTGATAACTGAGATGGGGGTAAAAGGACACAGTAAGGAGGGCACAGGAATGGGATAAGGAGCAGGGAAGGTGGTGGCAGCCACAGTTTTAAATAGGGTCATCAAGTTGGGCTTCATTGGGAACATAATATTTGAGCAGTGAGTTTAAGGTGAGATAATGAACCAAGAGAATAACATTAGGAGGAAAAGTTTCCTAGGCAGCAGAAATAGCCAGTGCAAAAACCCTAAGGAAGGAATATGGTTGGAGAGTTTGAGGAACAGTAGAGGCCAGTGGGGCTAGATGAAGGTTGACAAAGAAAAGAGTCCACAGGGTGTGGAGCAGAGATCAAGAAGAGCTGTCTTCCACTTCAAGGACATTGGAGTTGACTTTGAGTAAGATGTGGTGGCATGGTTGAAAGGTTTTGAGCAGAGGAGAGACACAGTCACTAGATTCATGAGAATGTGACCTATATAGTTGTATAGTGTGGCTATACTTGATCTCATGCTCTGCTATCACTGTCTTGAGATTTTTAATAATTTTTGAAAAAGGGGCTTCAGATTTTCATTGCATTGGGCCCTGCAACTTATGTAGCTGATCCTGCATGATCTGTATTCTGAAAAGATCACTGTGGCTGCTGTGTTAAGAGTACACTGTAGATAAAAAGAAATGAGGAGCTTAGAAGCCAGGAGGCTAGTTAGAAGGCTACTATAGTAATTCATACCAGAGATGATGCTAGACTGGACCACCAGGATGGTAGCAGAGGATGTGGTGGGAAGGTAGAACCAGCTAGATTTGCTGATAAATTGGATGTGTGGTGTAAGAGAGATTAGAAGATGACTCCTCTGAGGTTTTTGGCTAATTAAGTGGAATAACTAAGTTGCTTTCTACGCAGAGAAACTTCTGGTAGGACAGGTTTAGGGAAGAAAATCAGGTTTTTGGCTAATTAAGTGGAAGAATAAAGTTGCTTTCTACTGAGAGAAACTTCTGGTAGGACAAGTTTAGGGAAGAAATTCTGTTCTGGGCATGCTGAGTTGAAATACTTTTTAGATATCCAACTAGAAATGTTGAGGAAGCAAGTAAATACATAGGTCTGGAGTTCTGGAAAGAGATGTGGACTGCAGATATAAATTTTGAGTCTTTGGTATAGAGGTGGCATTTAAGGAGTGAGAAGACAGAGAAGGAACAAGGATGAGCCCTAGGGACATTCCGTTGTAAAGAGATTGGAGAAGAAGAGAGATAACCAGGAAAAGCTGAGGAAATGACATTTGAGCATTAAAACTGAGATAGATTGTGGAAAACAAGTAAAGTAAGTGTTTTGCCTTGGCTGGTGTGGTTTAGTGGATTGAGTGCTGGTTTGATTCCCAGTCAGGGCACATGCCTGGGTTGTGGGCCAGGTCCCTGTTGGAGGCGTGCAAGAGGCAACAGAAAGATGTTTCTCTCTCTCATCAATGTTTCTCTCCCTCTCTCCCTTCCTTCCCCTCAGGGAGGGAGGGAGGGAGGAAGGAAGGAAGGAAGGAAGGAAGGAAGGAAGGAAGGAAGGAAGGAAGGAAGGAAGGAAGGAAGGAAGGAAGGAAGGGAGGGGGGAAGGGGAAGGAAGGAAGGAAGGAAGGAAGGGGGGAAGGGGGGAAGGGGAAGGAAAGAAAGAAAGGAAGAAAGAGAGAAAGGAAGGAAGGAAGAAAGGAAAAGAATTTCAAGGAAGGAGTGGTCAGATTAGAGGAATGCTGCTGAGAGATCTGGTAAGAAGTGGGCTAATGATTGGATTTAGCAAAACAGAGCTTTGATAATATGGTTTTGGTGGAGTGCTGGAGAAAGCCTGATTGGCACAGGTTTAAGAGTAGGAGGGGAAGTAAAGACAGAAAGTATAGGCCATTTTTTCAAGGAGTTCTGCCTCAAAGGAAAGCAAAAATGTGGGATAGTGGCCAGACACAAAAAGTGAACACGAAAGAAGTTTTTATTTTTAATATGAGGAAATTAACAGCATAATTGAATTCTAGTGAGAATGATCCAATAGAGACCAAAAAAAAAAAAAAGAAGAAGAAGAAGAAGAAAGAAAGAAAGAAAAAATTAACAGGAAAGAGGAGAGAGGACTGTTGGAACATTGTCCTTGAGAAGGCATGAGGGTATCTGTGTCAGAGAACGAGGGAGGGAGACAGACAGAAGCTGAAATCGCCAATCTGTTGGTCCTGTCGCCCTTTTACTGCTCTCAATCACTGGATGTCCTCTCTCCTTTAACCTGGAATCCCATGGTCAAACATGCTTGCTCTCTTGCACATACCCTTCAATTCCTTCAGCTCCATAAGGCTTTGAGGCACTTGCTAGGCCAAACACCAACCCTGATTAAATCCAACTCTACCAAACAAGTGCCCCTAACCCATAGATCAATGGATTGGTGATATCAGTGGTATTAAAGGATAGTTGAGAGGGAGATAGCTGGAAAGATAGGAGGTGATATATATTTTTTTTATTTTGGCATATTTTTTTCCAATATTTATTTTTATTTGAGAAATCTCTTTCTATTGTTTCTCATTAAAATCCAATAGCTTTTTACAGAGAAGGAGGTGATATTTTTTATGTGGTACAAAAATGAGATTATGGAGAGGTTGCAGTTTCTGGTTCAGGTTATGACAGTGAGAGAGGCTGTCTAAAGTAAAATAGAAGGCAAGATCTTTGGAGGAGCAGAGTTCAAGAAGCCAGATTATTTGAGGAGTTGTCTACATATTGAAATGCCAAGACTTAAGACAGAAGTGTTAGTGACAGTGAGCCAGGAGCTAAACTCCCCTAAATCAGGGGGAGTGATTGAGAATTTGGTAGATGAGAGCAGCAATACAGATTAGTATATAAGTTCCTATATTAATTTGAATATACATCCCAGGAGTAGACAGTATAGTAAATTATAATCCTGCCTGATTATTTTTCACAGTGGCTGCACCAGCTGATGTCAGATCTTCAGTGTGATAAAGAATTCTATATCTTTCTTGACTGGTATGGCTCAGTTGGTTGGGTGGAGTTGTCCTGCAAACCAAAGTGTCCCCTGTTCAATTCCCAGTGGTTGGGGGAGGAGTGGGGTTTGATCCCCAGTCGGGGCACCTGTGAGAAGCAGCCACTATTTCTCTCCCTCTCTCTCTCCCTCCCTTCCTCCCCCTGTTAAAAATTTTTTTTTCTGCATCTTTGTCAACACTTGGTATTTTCTGTTTTTATCATTCTTATCCATTTAACGTAAAGTGTTTTATCTTACTGTGTTCTTATTGTAAGACTGAGCATCTTGTTAGATATTCAGGTTTCTCCTCCTTGTGAATACTGATTTGTGTTCTTTGCCCATTATAGGTTTGTGTAGCCTTTTACTTATTGAGTTGTAGAAGCTATCTATCTATTAGAGAACTAAGATCTTTCTGAGTTAAATTTTTTTTTATTGAGTTTTATCAGTTGATTTCTTTTCTTTGTGATTTTTACAATGTGGAACCTACTATAATTATTATATCTGCATGAAACACACAGATTCCTTTAAAGTAATTGACATCTTTATAATATGTATTATATGTCTTTGTTTATTTAGGTCTTTTATGTCCTTAAATAGTGATTGCTTCTTTTTCCCTAAAGTCTGGTTCATTCTTTGATGGGTTAACCCCTAGAAACTTTATTTCTTTGGTTACTATTGTGAACAGTATCATTTTTATATTTTCCAGGGTCTTATTTTTTAAAGATGTTATTTATATTTTTAGAGAGAGTAGAAGGGAGGGAGAAAGAAAGGAAGAGAAATATCGATGTGTGAGAAAAACATCGACCGACCGGTTGCCTCTCACAGGCCCCCAACAGGGGACCTGGCCTGCAACCCAGGCAGGTGCCCTGAATGGGAATGAGAACTGGCAGCCTTTCAGTCTGCAGGTCAGTACTCAACCCACTGAGCCACACCAGCCAGGGCTGTTTTCCAGTTTCTTAATACTGCTATAGAGTAACATTATTGATTAGTATGTTGTTCTTATATCCAGCAAACTTCCTAGATCCTTATTGGATCTAATAATTTGTATATCAATTTTGTACAGTTTTCTATGTTAACCACTTTTTGTAAATAATGGTAGTTTTGCCTTTTTTTCCCAACTTTTTATCTCTTGCTATTTTTTTCTTTTTTGAATACTGTGTTGAACATTAGCAATGCAATGGGCATCCTTTCTAATTACTGAGTTCTCCAATAAGTATATCATCATTTTCCAAGCAAAAACCTAGGTTCATCTGTAACATGGGGACAATGAAGAAGACACAAATAGTTCCCTTTATCCCCAAGGAGCCAGCGTAGTGTCAAGCAGTCAAGCAGATAGCTCTAATATATACTTGAATTACTCTTAGTCCACTATGAATTCATTCATCCAATTAAGTTTATCTTCTCCCATGTGCCAGGTAGTGAACAAGACTGACCTGGAGATAGACTCCATTAATTTCAATAGACTCTATTAATTGCAATAACATGTGTGCTATGGGAGTGTTTGGGTAGGTGGTCAGAGAAGGCTTGCTTTAGAAAGATGTTTAAACAGAGACATGATGGGTAAGTAGCAATTAATCATGCAAGCAGGAAGAAGGAAGGGTGTTTCTGGCAAAAGAAACACCTTGTAGGAAGGCCTAGGGTCTATAATGTGATCTGTTGGAAATGGGTGGAGAGCCTGGGAAGAATCACTCAACACGGAAGGATGGCAAGCCAGGACCTTTTAGACTATCTCAAGGAATACGTATCTTTAGATTTGGCCCAAGGGCAATGGAAATCCATCTCAAAGTTTTACATGGCAGGCTGGCAAGATTGGATGAACATTTTAGGAAGATCATTCAAATTGCAGTATCATGAGTTAAAGAAACAGACCATTTGGGTTATGGCTTAGACTAGGACAGTAGGACTTGCTGATGGATTGAGTGTGGCTATATTGGAAAGAAAAGAGTTAAGAATTATTTCCAAGTCTCTGGCCTGAAAGACTGATTAGATGGTGATGGAACCTGCTGAAACAAGGAACACAGGAGGATAAGGAGGAAGATGGAGTTTAGTTTTAGAAATGCCATTCAATGTGCCTGGAGGTTATTCAAGGAAAGATAGCTATGGGGAATTCTAATTAAGGGCTAGCAGAGAAGTCTGGGCTAGAGATAAAGATTTGAAAGCCCTAAGTTTATGGATGGTAACTGAAGCCACAGGCATTGAACAGATCATTCAGGAACAGTATATATAGTGTGAGAAGAGAAGAACACAGAAGTGAATAAGGTCAGAGAAGTAAAGAGAAAGCTAGTGCAATGTGATATCATAACTCCCCAGGCAGGGCCCACAGCCCTACCCATATCCCAGAGGAGCTTCAAGGCCCAGGCTCCTGAGACAACAGTGGAAATCCTAGGACATTTTGACTCTCTTCTGCCTTTCTTTTTGCCAGTTGCCAGATATAGACTCCGTATAATTGAGCCACCAAAACTACCTGTAGGGACAAAACCCAACCCTGATAAAGATGGTGAGTAGTGGGGAGTGAGTTCTCTGACATGGATGGTCTCGTGGCCTGGGCTGGACACCCAAAGTCCAGTGAGCTATGGAACACAATCTTTTTTGTCTGCACAGGTCCAGATATTGAGCCCAATCTGTGGATGTGGGTAAACTCCAACATCGTGTTTCCCCCTGGAAGGCTGGAGGTCCCAGAACCTAGTAAGGGGGAGGATCTGGCAAGCACAATCCCCTGCCCTCAGACAGCTTCAAAAGAGGAAGACTTGGCCAACTGCTCAGAGGCCAAAATCGTGGAGTCACTGCCACCTTCCTCCAGCAAGCAGTCTTTCCCTTGGAAGCAGTTTGCCTCGTCCCCCAGCAACTGGGAGGTAGGGATTTCTGGGGTTGTAGGCATGGTGGGCACAGTGATAATGTATTCGAGAGTTCTGTTCTGCTTTTTTTTTTTTTTAGGGATAACAAAGGGTTAATGGGTTCAGGAATTATCTGTGCCTTGGGTTGGGGAGCTGTCCAGATGGTGGCCCTACACCACTGCCCCTTCCTGCCATTGCACCTCTGGAGTAGAGGCCGTGGAGTCAGGACCAGTTCCTACTCTGTGCTCCTCTAGCTCACAGAAGAGGAGGAGGCTAAGGACCAGGATGACAGCTCCTCTGTGGCTCTCCCATCCCCTCACAGAAGGGCCCCCCTCCAGATTTGGAGGCTTCGGCAAGGCAACAGCCAGGAGGGGAGGCTCTGGTCCCGGCCCCCTCTCAATTACTTCCACCTAATTGCACTGGCATTAAGAAACAGTTCCCCCTGTGGCCTCAACGTGCAGCAGATCTACAGTTTCACTCGGTATGTGCGGAGGTGGGGGACGGGGGGGGGTGGGGGCGGGGGGAGAACGGTTTGAGGAGGGGAGAGGGAGGGGGTCAAGGACCTTGTTCAGAAACCTTCCCATCTGTGCAACCCTAGGCTACTGCTTCAGTTTTAACATCTGGATGAGAGGATAAGTGTATTCCCAGTTCTCCCTTCCCGGGCATTGGTTCTGGATTGTCCCTGTACTTATCACTTGTACAGGAAGATAACCACCTCCACCCTTATTCACATTAAAAAAGTCTAATCTCTTTCTATCTTAGTTCTTTAAGACATAAATTCCCCTGGGTGATAACTTCTTCCACCTTCCCTCTCAAGGTTATCTGGTATAAAGTCTAGTTTCCCACGCTTTCCCTTTGACCTGTACCGCATCGCAAGGCTCCCTGTACCCCCAGGGGTACCCAGTTGCAAAGGGATTTACATTTAGCTTTGGTAGTCATGTACATATGAGTATGAGAAGTTTCTCAGACCTTCTTCCTATATGAGAAGTCTCAGAATATTAATCTTCAAGAGGTATCCTTTCTTGACCAGAATTCCTCTTTATAGGAGTTGGCTGGCCTAATTTATGCTTGGTTCCTGGGAAGATAATGAGTTTAGGAATGGGGGCAGTAAACTGGGTTTAAAAGACGAGGGTTTGTACAAGCAATGCACCAGGTGGAGCTGTTGCTACATGCTGAATCCACAAAGGAGCAGTTTAGGCCAACTTGCCATTCTCTCCCTGGAGAGAGGAGCTGTGATTCATGACCCTGGGGGAGAACATACTCAAGGATACAACATCTCCCAAAGAAACCATGGCTTTCCTTACCATTATTCCCTGTCCACAGACAACATTTCCCCTTTTTCCGGACGGCTCCGGAGGGCTGGAAGAATACCATCCGCCACAATCTCTGTTTCCGAGACAGCTTTGAGAAAGTGCCAGTCAGCATGCAGGGAGGTGCTAGCCCATGGCCTCGATCCTGCCTCTGGAAGTTGACGGAGGACGGACACCGCCGCTTTGAGGAGGAGGCCCGAGCCTTGGCCTCCACTCAGCTGGAAAGTATCCAACAGTGCATGAGCCAGCCAGGTGTGAGGCCCCATCACATGGTGGGGGGTGGGCAAGAGGAGGGGACTGGAAGATCCTGACCTAAGTCTGAATGTGCAAGGAAGGAACCTGGGCTACACCATTGGTGGGGGTACCTTCTGTAGGAAGGGGAGAGGATAGCAGTAGTCTGAGACTCTGGGGTGATGCCTGCCTAAGGTGGGACTCCACATACAAGCGTGGGTACAGGGAGTTGATAGAGAAACAACTAAGGTGCAGTTGGGCCTACACACAGTCTAGTAGCCTAGGGAAATGGTGACCACACGATGTCAGAGGCATGGTATGAGAGATTACGTGCAAAAAGGGCTCTTTCTTTTCCTGGACACCAGCTGGCATGTGGGCCATAAGAGAGAATGTCTGCTGTGAGAGGGCATTCTAGGTTTAGGGAACAGCAAATGCAAAGGGCAGGTAAATTCCTTTAACTCTTTTCTTACAGATGTGATGCCCTTCCTCTTTGACCTTTAAATCCAAGAAGTGAGAGTCAGCCCATGCCTTATTAAAGTTACCTGCAGCAGCCTGATGTGTGTGTCGTCTCTGAGGATAGGGGAGGGATAGAGGTGGAGATCAACTCTGAGGTTGTAAACGGGATGCTCCAGAGGCAATGGAGCAGTTGCCTGGTGTACAGCAAAGGGATTCTATACTCCCCTCAAAGGAAGAAAATACTCAACCCTCTTTTGGATCCTGAAGCAAGTCCCACTTTCCTGGGTTATAAGGATAGTCTTGGGAGATAATAGCTTGTAGCAGCCAACCCTGCAAAAGGCCCAAAGAAGCAGCACCTAATAGCCTTCATCTCCTGTTCACTTAATTACCCCTTAATCCTTTGCAGTCTGTCTCACTGGAAATCTGACTGCCCCCTCTCTGGTCTCTGAAACGTGATATTCCTGAAAAGCATGATCCTTGGCGTACCAGACCAAAATCTCTACCTTTAAGGAAAGATCCCTGTTTGCTTGATTTGCACATTTTGGTAACATACAAAATCCCATCCTAGTCACATCACCACCACCTCTACGCTGTAGCATGTGCATTCATTCCCAAACATACAGCAGAAATGTGGCAGTGCTAGGCCAGGGCCTCTCCCTGACCCTAGAGGACGCTGTGGATGCCCAAAGGATTTGGGGGTGTTGTGGGCATTGAAGGCAGACCCGGGAATGTCAGATGACCTCAGTGCAGGTGGCAGTTTCTCACCCTGGAGAATTGATCCTCATACCTCAGGCCATTAATAATGACTTGAGCTAGGAACCCAACTTAGTAGAAAGTATTTGTTGCACCATTTTCTTGTTTTCAAAAGGTGTTTTATTTATTTATTGTTAGAGAGAGGGGAAGGAAGGGAGACAGAGGGAGAGAAACATCAATTGGTTGCCTCTCGCATGCCCCTAACTGGGAACCTCTAAGTTTGTAGTACAATGTCCAACCCACTGAGCCCCACCAGTCAGGGCTCATCATTTTAATATATACTGAATTTTTCCAAGAATACAACTAAGGAACATTGTCCTCTTTGGTTTGGAATTTTACCAAGAGTTCCCATATTGGGAACTCTTTATCAGCAAAATCACTTTGCTGATAGTAAAGCTGTTTGGGCATTAAAGTTATCAATACCACATGCCTGTATCATTCTGCCTATCTGTTGTACTCACAGCAGGTACTCTACATGTATAAACAAATCTTTAGTTATTATTTCAAGATAGCCAATATAAAGAAAAAGCATTTTCAATAGTCATTTAAATATCCTGTCTTAAATCTAAGCTATATTTGCTATAAGTACAAGGTCTGTCCAGAAGGTACCTAGCCACATAATATGAAAATAGAGACATTTATTGAAGAAGATACAAGATACAAAAAACATCGTACATAGGACAATGATACCTCAGTCCCCTTCAAATAGCCACCTTGGGACCTCACCCAGTACTCCCAATCTCTATCAGCTGCCCTGTTGTATTTTCCTGAATCTTACCAATAGTCTGAAATCTCTTCCCTTTCAAAGGTGATTTTAGTTTTGAGAAAAGCCAGAAGTTGCAGGGCACCAAATCTGGGCTGTAGGGGGGCTGAGTCACCTGGGTCATTTGATGTTTTGCAAAAAAAAACTGCAGAGATACAATGCATGAGCGGTAGTGTCACAATGAGGCTGCTGATCACCAGTTACCCATAGCTGCGGCCTTCTGAATCATCTGAATAGTCTCCACCAAAGAATGTTCAAACTTAATGCAAAATTTGATGCAGATTTGTTCTCATTCAGTCATTTTGAATGAGATAACCCCACAGTACTCAAGCTCACTCAATGGCGCCTACCACCCCCACTGACTAGTATAATGAAGTCATTTTCCACACATGCATTCCAGTCTACTCTCCTTATCTGCCAGGTTACATCGATGTTGCACAAACAGTTCTTGTTATATTAATAATGGCTGGATTTTTTCTGGACAGACCTCATCATATGTGCCGATTTCCAACTAGCTCATGTTTTCAAATATAGTTTATTCATTGAAATATAAATTTTCCTCCCTTATTTTTTGTTATGTCACAGTTAGCATTATATTGGTTTTTTAAAAATTATATTTGTAGGTAGGTTATTTTATCAGTAAGATTCATTTCAGGGTGGTAAAAATGGACTTACAAAATATTTGCTCAGTTCCTAGAGTGTTAAGGCTGATGGGAAAGAATCACAAAACCAAGGATTATTTAACACACAGTCCCTATGTCAGGCACTTACCACAATGACACTGGCAATCAGTGAAAACAATACAATAGAATGTCATGTTCATGTCCAAACTCCCAGAGCCTCACTAGTAAGAATGCACTGTTATCTGTGAATTGTAACTAGTAACTTCTCCGACTGGAAGCACAGAGAAGGTAGCAATTAACTTTGTCTGAAGGAGCTGGGAAAGACTTCTCACAGCAGACATTAGCCCTGGATCCTTTTTCCAGGTCTAGATTTAACAACAGCTAGTAGTTCTCCAGAAGTACTCAAAGCCAGCCCTGCCCTGCAGGGGTGAAGGTCGGAAGAATGAGGGGTAAGGGCTGATAATACTCCCAGGAGGCAGAGGTGGATGTCAAGGAGGTAGGAAAGAGCAGGGATGGGAAGGGAAAAAGTGACCAGTGCCAAGAAAAAGATAGACACATGCAGATGCCCAGTTGAAGCATGTGCAGAACTGCCTTTTCCCAATTGGCCTGGAGATGCTTTGTGCTGATTTTCTCCTCCTCGACTGCCAGGATGCTAATTTTTATGTGATATCCACCTGAGGAATGAGTGGAGGGACCAAGTCATTAGTGTCATTCACTCTGGGCCCACCCAGCACTCTGCAACCAGAGTCTACTCTCTTATCACCCTAGTCTATTCATCTCCCAAAAAAGAGGATATTATCTGATTTTGCCTTAATTTGTCCACCTCAGCTGCACTTTGTGCATATTATTATCCCTGTCCACATTCTTGTCAATGTCTGGTTTAAGTTGCAAATGTATCCCCAAAGGCAACTGTTCAGAAAGGAGAACAAAAAATCCAGAAACATCTGAGAAAATATATGCACCCCTATGTTCATAGCAGCATTACTTACAATAGCCAAGGTCTGGAAACAGCCCAAGTACCCATCAATAAATGAGTGGATAAAAAAGATGTGGTACATTTATAAAATGGAATACTACACAACCGTAAAAAGGAAGGAACTCCTACCCTTTGCAACAGCATGTATGGATCTGGAGAATATTACTCTAAGTGAAATAAGCCAGTCAGAGAAAGATAAATACTATATGATCTCACTCATATGTGGAATCTAATGAACAAAATAAAACCAGAGGCATGGATACTTGGAACAGACTGACAGATCTCAAAGGGAAGTAGGGTGGGGAGACGAAGAGATTAGCCAAAGAACATACATGCATAGCCTGTGGACACAGATGAAGGGGTGGTGAGGGGGGCAAAGGGAGGTGTGTTGCAGCCTCTCTAGGCTGGACAGGTCCGCTTGGGGTCCGGGTAGATGGAAGAAGATGCATGGAGCCTTGGCAATGCTTGACATGCCTTTATTCAGGAGAGTCACACAAACACAAGCACAAGCCAGGTCCGGGGAAATCACACAGGCCACAAAGCCTGTATCCACGCCGCACACAGGCCACGAGCCTGTGTGGAGGGAGTCACACAGGTCACAAGCCCCTGTCCAAGTCAGCGCCCTGACTCCTCACCTTGCCCAAAGCTCCTATCCCTTAAATACTAGCCCCAAACAAGGCAGGCAACAGCCCAGAAAGGGAAGTTACTATCCTGAGCTGCACATGCGAGCCAACTGAAGGCTACAGGGCAGTTCATTGCAGGGCTCAAGGCTGTGGGAGCAGTGCTTTATCAGACTCCTTCAAGGTTGTGAGGAACGGCTCCCTCCAGTTACCCATGCATCTAGGTGAGGGAGCCAGACTGCCTCCACATACCCTACAGGAGGGAAATGGGGTATATCTGTAATATTGTCAACAATTAAAACAAACAAACAAAAAGAACAAAACAATATAGCCTTTGTGGAAAAAGAACCTGAGAAAAATCTGCCTTTATCCATTTTACCCCTGATAGAATATTATACTCTGGGGGAAGCAGCGGCTGCTATTTCAGGGAGGCGGCTGCTATTTCAGGGAGGCGGCTGACGCTGTCGCAGGGTTGGATCCTGAGGTGCGGAAGCCGCTGTCCTGCACTTCCGAGCTCGCTTCTCTAACCCTGTTGTTTCTTTTAGATTCTCTTGGGCCTATCCACCCTCAGAGCCTAAAATTTCGCGAGGGGTGGTATCGCGGCCCAGGCCTAGAGGCTTAACTGTAAGAACAGCTGGGACAGCTGCAGCAGCTCCTTTCTTTCTGAATGCGAGCACCACAGGGGCCTGGAAGCCCGCACAGGTGTTTGGAGAAAATGGCATACGATATTGACACTGACGCAGTGCTTGAGGCTCTTTACAAGAAGGATGAGAACAAGTTGAGCAGTGCTAATGGCCGTGAAGAACAGAGCAAAAAAACAAAGTTTCTGCCTTCTTGGAAATCTACATCTCTTTGTGATTGGGGTATGGGTTTCAAGATTCCAGAAGGAAGAAAAAAGCAAGAGCGAAAGTAGTAGTCATGAACAAAAAAGAAGCAAAAGTAAGGAACAGAAGCGAAGCAGAGATAGAGAAAGGAAAAAGAGCAAAAGCCATGAATGGAAGAGAAGTAGAAGCAAAGAAAGGAGACAAAGTCGCTCAAGAAGTCAAGATCGCAAATTCAGAGGCCACTACAGAAGTCTTTACTCTGACCAAAATTTAACAGTGCCATCCAAGGAAAGATTGGGTTGCCTCATAGAATCAAATTACGCAGACCTGCGCTTCTGAAGCTAAAGTCCATTAAGAAAACACGAGAGCCCTGTGAATGAACCTATTGATAATTTCACTCCTGAGGAAAGAGATGCAAGGACTGTTTTCTGCATGCAGCTGGCAGTGAGAATTTGGCAAAGAGATTTGGAAGAGTTTTTCTCTACA